CCATACAAAATAAAAATGACTTGGAATGGCAACAGCAGCTCTGGAAGGAAGAAAGCAATGAAGTTGCGATTTCTAAACTTCAAGTGAAATTTTTCAATATAGAATTCCAAGCCCAGCAAAATGGTTGGTCAAATGTAAAGATACAATAAAAAAAATTTTTAAGCTTATGCAAGACCTGAAAAGTTCTTACTGCCATGTACCAAGTATCAGAAGATACTCCAAAGAAATTAATAAACCATGAAAGGAAATACAGAAAAATTGATGGCCTAATACAGAAGAGTGAAGAGATTTTTAAGGGTGGCTTAAAGAGAAATTCTAAGAAAAGAATGTGAACTGAGCACAGAAAAAAAAAAAAAAAAAAAAAAAAAAAAAAAAAAAAAAAAAAACAAAAACAAAACCCAAAACACCAATCCTGACTGCACTGAAAGAACAAAGGGGCCAAGTCTGATTGGCACACACCTCTAATTCCAACACTTAAGAGGGAGAGGCAGAAGAATCTTTAGTTCCAGGCCAGCCTGGGCTAAATAGTGAGACCATCTCAAAACAGCAAAAACAAAATAAAAGAAAGGATTCCAAGAAAGCTCAAGAAATAAAGCCATCTCAATCCCCCAAAGTATTAACTTCTAGAAAAAAATACACTGGTTGACAAGTATTATAATGTTTATATGGTTCAGCTGTCAATATTTGCAGTTAGGACACTATAAACACTAAATATTAATAAATGTTCCAGATAACTATATTGAGACTGTATTGAGGCAGCGTTATGTTTGGGTGAGGCTGATAATGTAACAGCAAGGAATTCTTACTCAGGAAAAAACCAATAGTAAGAGTGTGGTATCAAGAAACAGCAAGAGGGGCTAGGAGCGTAGCTCAGTAGTACAGCATGCACCTGATCACAGGCCCAAAACCCTGGGTTTAATCCCCAGCACTAGCAAAGGGAGAGAGGGTGGAGAAAGCAACAAAACAAAGGTACTTGACAACAAAAGCATTAGAAAGGAGGCCACACCTAAGAGACAAAAATGAGTAGCACTAAAGCACAGAGAGTGAAGCAGGAGGTGGCACTTTTTCAGCTATTCTAATTTTAAATTTGAGTTTTATAAATGGTGATAAAATAGAGAACTTAAGACAATATCTTAGCTGTTGGTGAACTGGACCTCTAGCTTGTTCTGAGGGAAAGACTGGACTGCTGACGATGCCAACTTTAATGACTAATATGAACATATTAAAACAGCCTTCTGGTCTGAATCTCAGCCCCACCACTTGCTCTGTGAAGTAGGGCAAGTTACCTAATCAGGCTGTATATGCAACCTTCTCCTCAAAGTGGTTTTGCAAGGATACTGAGTAAAAAAAAAAAATCTGATGTAGACAGAGCTTGACCCATAATGAATGCCAGTATTTTGTCTTTTTATTCCTCAGCTACAAACCCCCTTTCTGACTCCAGCTGCCTTGTTGGTCACAGAGCATAAGGGACACATGAACAACTCAGCACATAACCCTGTTCATGCTGGAAAATCACTCATGATGAGCAAGCATACTTATTTCTGTATATGAAGGACGGCATTATTCTTGTTATATGAAGGGGATTACCTCCGTTATCCACACTCTGGATTACTGCCAGCTCTGAAGAATTATCCCCATTAGTCCACAACATTGGAACAGAACCATGTTCTTACTTAGGTCTATTTTACAGTGTTGCTCAGGTCTTCAAAAACTACATTTTACCAATCCTCACCCCTGCTTTCACTACCTCAAATTCATTCTAATACAGGTCCTATCTGACCCCAGTGGGTCTGGAGTCACCTCCTGCTTACTGCATCAAGGGAAGAGAGATCAGCTCAACTCAGCTAACTGAATTGTTTGTCATTCCCAATGTTTTCTTCCATTATTATAACAAAGTCCATAATCCTCACAAAGTACAAAAATAACAAAAAAAGAGTATCTTTATCACTAGACCAGTCATCTTTATTTACCCGGCCAATCAAAGGTCTATTAATTTGTTTGGTTCTGGTTTTTGAGGGAGTTTCTCAGTGTAGCTCAGGCTGGCTACAAACTCACTACATGCTGAGGATGATTTTCAACTCCTCATCATCCTGTTTCTACCTCCTAAGTGCTGGCTAACCTTGAAGATGAAAAGATATACTCCCATTCTCAAAGGTATGGGAAAAGACTAAAGGACAAAAGAACTGAGAGCAACAGAGAACAACAGAACAGTCCAAGAAATGACTGAGAGCAACTCCAGACTATTTGGCATAAAATCATTTGTAACATAGTTGAAACTGAAGAAAATTACAAAAATTGACACAGTGAGCCTCCTAGCAAAGTGGAAAGAGAAACAGGATGGCTTATGAAACAAAATTAACCTAATGAAAGACAATTGTTTTTAAAAAGAAAAAGCCATGGCCAGGGAGATGCCTCAGTGGGTAAGAGCTCTTCCTGGACAAGCACCCATGTAAAAAAGTTGCGTGTGGATGCACACACCTGTAAACCCAGCACTGAGGGGCAGAGAAAGGCAGGCCTCAGAAGCTCAGGGGCCAGTCAGCCTAGCAGATGGGGCTGCAGGTTCAGTAAGAGACTCTGTCTCAAGGAAGTAAAGCAAAGAGTGATAGAGCAGTCAGACAAGAAGGCAAAGAACGTCCTCCTCTGGCTTCCACATGCACCCAGTCAGGGAAACACGCACATTCATGTGCATGCACCACACCCACATCCCACACTCACACTCCACAGACACATGAAAAAGTTTATCACTAGGAATACAGAAAAGATTTTGTGTATGTGTGGTCCCCTTTCACACGTATCAATTCTTGATAAAAGCCAAGGTGCTTAACATCCCACAAGGGGTCACTTTAAAAAGAACGTAATTCGCCAGGCGTGGTAGCGCATGCCTTTAATCCCAGCACTGGGGAGGCAGAGGCAGGCGGACCTCTGTGAGTTCGAGGCCAGCCTGGTCTACATAGTGAGTTCCAGGACAGCTGGGGCTTCAGGGAGACCCTGTCTCAAAAAGACCCCCCCCCAAAAAAAACCATAACAAAACAAACCACAAAACAAAACCCCTCAACTCAAGCAATATGGAATGGAAGGGGAGGAGAAAAAAATTGACTCCAGTTCTAGGATCAAAAAGTAATTCTTAAAACTGCTGCTGTGACTTTCCATGTTTTCATTCACAATAGAAAAAATTGGGCTAGAGAGAGAGACAGCTCAGCAGTTATGAGCATGCACTGCTCTTGCAGAGGACCCAGATTGGGTTCACAACACCTACCGGATGATTGCGATGTCAGCTTACAACCACACATAACTCCAGTTCAGGGAATCATACCTCACTCTGGCCTCAGCAGGCTCAAGACCAGCATAGGGTGCACTTACACACATGCAGGCAAAGCGCGCGCGCGCGCGCGCACACACACACACACACACACACACGCACGCACACACACACACACACACACACACACACACACACAAAGAAATCTTTATACTAGGAAAAGTTACCATCTGCTTCAGTTACTATAAATGTTTGAACATATTTAGCACATTACCTGAAAGGAGCTCAATTATTACTTTCAAGCCTCCACCTTAAAACTGCACATCACATAAAACAATGCCTCCCAAGAACTATTTCAGCAAAAACACAAAGGAGCTAGATCATTCCCGCTTTCCTCTGAAAATTAAGTTAGACCCTTCAACTTTTAAAATGGAGGGTGAAGGTCAGGGGTGTGGTTGCACACACATTTAATCCTAACACTCAGGAGGAGGCAGGTGGATCTCTCTGAGTTCCAGGCCAACCTGGTGTACAAAGTTCCAAGCTAGCCAGGGCTATGAAGTGAGACCCTGTCTTTAAAAAAAATATGGAGGGAGAAAGTCAGGCATGATGGTGTACCTGTAACCCCAACACTTGAGATGCTAAAGCTGAATTGCTTTGGATTCAAAGCCATCCTGGGCTATGTAGGGAATGTTTAGCCAGCTAGGATTAAATTAGTGGGACCGGCCTCAAAAACAAAAAGACAAACAAAAAAAGCAGCCTAAAGGCAACAAGAAGGTGAAAATCCTACTTACTGAGTCATCTAGGCTGATAAAAAAATTGAGATATGTGATGCATGCCTGTAGTCCTGGCATTCGGGAGGTTAGACAAGGAGGAAGGGGGCAAGTGCAATACCAGTCACCTAACAATACCCAGTCTCAAAATTTTAAAAAAAGGGTGTGTGCTGGGTTTGAAGCAATGCTTTAGGAGAAAAGGATGGACTTTAGTATTTAATAGAATATTCCAAGGCCATTTCTCGGTTATTTACTGGTAGTTGTTTACAAACTGGAGTTTATGCCTTAAAAATCAACTGATTTGAAACTTTTCATTGAAAAGCGGATCAAGAAGTACTTGCATTCAATCCTCCCATTCTTCCAAGACAACTTTCCAGTTTTCTGCTCCCACTGCGAGCTTCAGCTAACGCATCACGGCTTCCACGGCAAACCAAGTTGTCATTGCTATAATTACCACACCCCCGTCAGCCGCTCCAGGCCCGTGTAGTTATGACATCTGGAAACTGCAGCCTCCCGTCTCCACCCCCACCGCCCTCCAAACACCGGCCCGGCGCGGGCTGGAACCTGGGAGGTCCGGTACAGTTCCGGAGGTGGCTTAGGGCTTCGCCGCGCCCGCCGCGCACTCCGCGTAGGCCCCGCGCCGCCGCCCCGCAGTCCTCGGCGCCGCTTCCA